TTATACGTAACAGATCGCTAGTAGTGCATTCATATGAATTAATGCGATTTAATAAGCGAACAATGATCAAACAACAAAGATAATTAGTATTTATCAAACAACAAGGACAATTAGTGTGCCACTTTTATTAAATCTCATGAAAATATCCGATTAAATTTTTTGATCCTGAAGCTCGGAGTCTTTGTCTATCAATAAGATTTTAATTACAACCATATTTACCTTGTTAGCAAGAAAATTCTAGTTCATATACATGTAGTAAGCAGAATTTTAATTCAAATTAACCACATTACTTATTCAAATAGTAGTATTATTTACTTTATCAATTCCGGTACAAATCCTATAAAATAGGATAAATCAATAAACATTCTGAATTGCAGTGAATAAAAGTTATAATTTATCAAATCTCTTAAGAATCTGTTATCCTACGTTAAAAGTAGTTTTAAGTTCGTGCAATGACCTGCTTCTGTTAATTGTACAGTCGCTTCCGAATCTTTACTTTGTTTCACCAAGTTTAAGAACTTATCAATGGAACTTTCAAAGGTTCTCATAAAAGGTTTAGGAAATTCTATAAACAGTTGAATAAATTAATTATGGATTTATAACGAAAATCAAATATTTATATTCATTATACCTTTAAGATTTGCATGTTTTAATAAATTTTTTGACGTGTTCTCTATAAAATTTCGAGTTGTAAATTTCCTTGCGAAAGTAAAGAACTCATAAGTAGTCGATTCAGGTTTATTATAAGGCAAACTGTTTAAATCCAAAACGTTTCAATTTTTAGAAAAGCTATAATTTTATAAACTGTAAAGCTTTGCGGTAGAAATGATTACGTTCAGTTTTGTGATAGCAAATATTTCTATAGCATGAATTTAGATTATCAAATCTGGGAATTCTTGACAGTTACGGCATAGTGTCGTTCAAAAAAAAGTTAGATTTCTTGCTTGCGCGATAAAATCTTATACATACATAAGCAAAACGTTAATATAACGATTATCAGTTATCACTAATGTTTTAGTAAACTTTTATAACAATATTTAGCGATAGTTTTTAAACTTTGCGAATATTTTTATAAGTGATTTTTTATTTATTTATTTATTTCTTATTTTATCATTTTACATTATAAAATTTTATACTCGAAAAATTTTTAACATTAACTTTATTTACAAATATATTCATAAATTACAAAAAAAAAAAATAAAATAATTAAATCTATATATTAAAAATTGAGATACTTAGTTTCGGAGAATATATCTCCTACTTATCCCAACCACCACGTAAAGGTGTATCTCACGGTTGGGAAGGCGAACCCCAACCAATCTCTCATCTCGGTACTAGTCGTGGTTCGGTTCCCGAGTGAGAAGGTTGTTCGTAGCTTTAGCTCAATTGGACTCTAGAGCTCGAGTAATAAAACAGTATATTAAATTAAACAATATCAAATAAATATAATATAATATGAAAAAAGCAAGAGTAAAGTGATAAGAATAAGGAATAGCGTGAAGAAAAAAAGACACCCTTATATACCTTGTTTTTTGACGCGTAAAATCGAATTACACGTAATTACCGTAATTACGCAATTTTATTACAAGACGAAAAAAAATTTCAGTGATTCGTTATCGATTTCCTTAATTGGATACTAAGCAGTCGAAGACGTTATGTAATATTTACATGATGAGGTTGACTATTATTCTCTACGAACTTATCAGAATGGCAAAACTGGTTTGTGTTCGAATTTGGATCCTGAACCACATGAATTACTCACGTACGCAGTTACTATCAGCTACCAAAATTTGCCTTTTTTTCCTGCAATGTATCCTTCTGGAGTATAGCAAATTTGCAAAGAATTTTGTGTTATTTCCCGTTCGTCCACCATAGAAGTCGTTTCGCGGTTCAAGAAACATCGCAACGAACTTATCCAAACAAGGTAATATTACCTTTCGCATATTCCGTGCCATGTGTCAATCACTTTGACACTCGCATCTTTTGTTTTGGGTCTTGCATGAAAATTAAGAATATACGGTTCTGAGGACATAGAAAGACTTTCGTATGATTGGCTGGTGTAAATCAATTGCTTATTTATACACTTTAAAGTGCTTTTGGAGAACGTAACGTTTCATTAACAAAAAAATCGCCGTAAATACCATCTATCGCTATACGTGCGAAAGAAAGTCAACAATCGCTATTCAAAAATAATCAGAAATAACCAGTAACCTGGGGGGCTTCATTTAGAAGCGAATAGTTTACTATTCGTTACTTAGATCTACATATAAGTGTTAATCATAAAAAATTTATTCGTACTAATCCTATCACCTTTTATAAAAGCATGCATTAGAAAAATACATTTATAAACTAGTATTAAAGATATTTAACATGTGTCAAATTAAATAGTAAAGTTAGTATTTTTTATCAATAAAACAAGAAAAAATAGATTTATATTATTAATTATACGTAATCTTTTTAA